CGTCCCATCCACCATGTCCGTCCCTTCCATACTTCTTCTCACCCCGTAGCGTTCGAGAGGTGCTCGGTTCGCCTGAGCCACAATGTTTAGCTGCCCAACCAAGCTGATCCAAGTCCAAGCGCGAGCCGCGTGCTTTGTGACCCAAGACCAGGCGCAAAGTACGTGATTGGTGGTCCAAGTCAAAGTGCGGAGCCTTTTCAAGTCGACCACATCTTCGATCTTGGCCGTGGCATCCGCTGCAATGCGCGTCGGATGCTTGCCGTGACCAGGGCGCAAAATGTTGACAATCCACTCCTTCTTGAACAGAGAGGCGAGCTTCATCGTCTTTATTCCCTGAGGTGAGTTGACCGGATTGGCGGATTGCGCTGAACGACCGTATAGAGAGCGAGTCATTTTGTACCGCACCTTGAGGAAACTAAGACCATCTGCGGGAGCTACGACGGTATTTGCGGCTGCGCTTGACGGTCCAAAATAAGCCAAGAGAGAGGTCGCAAGGCTGATCCCACTGTCTGAAGCTCCGACCCACATCGACGAGAAAGTCAAGGGCTTTGGTTTCACAGGCACTTGACCAACATAGGCGTAAATAGAGTTTTGGGCCTGCTCCCACCACAACAAGGGCAATGGAGGAGCCGCAAACAAGTTGCTGATGTTCCAGGGGGTCTCGTCCAGGGCACGCAAGAAAGCTGCAACGGTACGGTCTGCCGCATTGCTGGAGGCAAAGACCGCCATTCCCAGCAGAAGACTCGCGAAGAACATGAGTGCGCTGAGCCAGAGGGCTTTACGCAAGCATTGGCGGGAACGCGTCTGCTGGTGATGGATCGCTCGCTTGTGATCTTCGATCCCCTGTTGCACTCGCGCATCAACGACCTTTTTGAAGTCTTCTTCACGCGCGTCCAGGGCCTGCGCAACAGCCACCTTGATGCGATCTTCCATTGTTTGATCCATCGTACCAGGCTGCTGATTTCCGGCGGCCGCCTCTTCTTGCGCACGTTGAGCATTGTCCATTCGCTGATTGAGCTGCTCAATGTCATGGGCGGTCTTGCTCTCCAGCGTATTGTGGTCGCTGACCAGAACTTCATGTTGGGTGCGGAGCTGATCGAAGGCGCTCCTAAGCTCGGCGGTATGCGCGGCATGAGAGGCTACCTCAGCTGCCTGTGCCTCCAATCGTCCTTCAATGGCACCGTTGCTCATCTCGAGAGCTCCAAGTCTCTCATCGAGCTTGACGAGCTTGTCGAGGGCTTTTTGAACTTTCGGCTCCATGTTGCCGATTGTCTGCGTGAGCTTGTCCACGGCAAGCTTCGACTCCGCGACATCGTCCTTGAACATAGCGAAGTCTTTCTTGATGGTCGACGTCGTTTTGGAGACCTGATTCATCTCGCTACGTACGCCACAGAGGTCCTTTTTGAGGCCGTCGACAACAACCTTGTTCTCTTGTCCCTGCTCGAAAAGCGCAGAGATTTTTCCCTCCAATGGCTTCAGAGCAGTGTCGATGGCGTTCACGTAGGCCATCTTGTTGGTGGAAGTCGACTGCTCCATGTGAGCCTTCAGTGCCTCGAACAGCCCGTCAAGGTCCTTGATCTTGGCTCCATCAGCCTGCGGAGCCTGACAGGGACGTAAGGTCAAAGGTAACGTACTGATTCAGTTCGAGCTCCATACATATGCACGTCGGATCATTGATTGCACTCACGTTCGTTTCCTGCTGCTGTTCGCAGCTCTGGTCGGGAATCTGAGTTAGTGAAAATGGGCTGTATAAGCCTAAACAGATCCACGTCGAATCATTGGGTGCCGTTGATGGCACTCACCTTCGTCTCCTTCTCCTGCTTGGAGCTCTGATCGGCAATCTGAGGTGGCAAGAATGGGCTGTGTAAGTCTAGACAGATCCACATCGACTTGTTGAGTGCCGTTGATCGCACTCACCGTCGTCTCCTTCTCCTGCTTCTTCGAGGTCTGATCGGCAATCTGAGGTGGTGAGAACAGGCCGTGTGAGCAAACGGTGGGGAACGTGAGATCAGAGCTGGCAGCTGTAACAACCAAGAAGCGCGGCATAGATGGGTGTAGGCCAATTGCGTTGATCTTGCAAACTCACCTCTTCGATAGGGTCAGGCTGGCGACCATTTTCTTTCTGAGCAAGTTTCGGGATCTTGCTCTGAGCCGTGCGGGCCAATCCTCCGCTGATCTTGACGC